TCCTTAAATGGATACCTGAAACATGCTTTAAAGAATAAAAATTTTGTGATGCTTTTAACCGCGGGAAATAACAGTCGTTTGAATTGCGAAAACTAAATCCGCAGGCGAGTCTGCGTATTCCGTGAGTAACGACGAGACGGCCATCATGAAGGAGATCAAGACGCACGGCCCCGTGGAGGCCTCCTTCGACGTGTACGAGGACTTCCTGAGCTACAAGTCTGGTGCGTATCTTCGACGTCTTTTTAAACTGGTGGCAGCAGCCGCGCTGCTCCAGCGCTGACAATAGATATCGTTCACGTAGAGTGACCGACAAATTAGGGCAAAGTGCCGAACATGGATCTGGATCTTGGTACCAATTAAGTTATTCGGAGGCCCCTGTCGAACGAGAAGGGAGTGGGCGATCCATGTCAGCAGTTTTTTTGTGTGCTGATAACGAAAATCACTTCCATTTGTACCTCTGACCTAAATTTTACTCAATATGAGCCCATAAGATGCACAGACAATGCGCATCGCTCAGCCACCACTGCAAACGCAACGGCGATACTAAAGTACATTTTTTGGCGATACAAATGAGTATCGCCAATAAACGGCCGTACGGAAAAGTAATGCCTTCAGAACGGCGATACAAGAAAGTGTCGCCAAAATTTGGCAATACTTTTGGATAATGCCAAAACCACGGCATTAAACCAAGGTCTTGTCCCCTTGATTTGTTCGACGTTTATTGCCAAATCGTGGCGATACTCCAAAGTATCGCCAAATTTTGGAAGGCAATACTTTTCCGTACGGTCTTTTATTGGCGATACTCAATTGTATCGCCACAAAAGGTACTAAAAGTATTTCCTTTGGATTTACAGTGATGCTGCCGTGTTGTCGATGGGGTTTAGTTTGTGGTGCAGTTGTTTCGGGCTGTAATACGAAGGTTCTGACGTCCGTAGGTTACGACCCATAAATGACCAATAAATTGAGACATCTGTCTCAAGTATTTACTGGGGGTACGCGCCGTTTAGTGTGGGCGCGTTGTGTCACTGTAAATCCAAAGGCAATACTTTTAGTACCTTTTTTGGCGATGCAATTAAGTAGCGCCAATAAACGGCCTTACGGAAAAGTATTGCCTTCAAAACGGCGATACACAAAAGTATCGCCAAAATTTGGCGATACTTGGGAGTATTGCCACGATTTGGCAATAAACGTCGAACAAATCAAGGGGACAAGACCTTGGTTTAATGCCGTGGTTTTGGCAATACCCAAAAGTATCGCCAAGTTAATTTTGGCGATACTTCTGTGTACCGCCGTTCTGAAGGCAATACTTTTCCGTAAGGCCGTTAATTGGCGATACTCAATTGTATCGCCAAAAACTGTACTTAAGTATCGCCTTTGCATTTTGCAGTGCACCAATCTAATCGCACCGTACAAATCCTGACTCCTTACGGACTTCGGCGTTGCACTGAACCTTCATAAATTTATCACTTAGATGATCTCCTGTTGTTTGGTAAATTATTAATACACATTATTTTTGTGCCTTGCGCTTGCAGGCGTGTACAGATACCTCGCTGGCGACTTCGTGGGCGGCCACGCCGTGCGCATCCTCGGCTGGGGCCAAGAAAAGGGCGTCAAGTACTGGCTCATCGCCAACTCGTGGAACACCGACTGGGGCGAGAAGGGCTTCTTCAAGTACATCCGCGGTATCAACTTGAACGGTATGGAGGGGGACGTAGTCGCCGGTCTGCCCAGGCTGTAGACAGCGCCCACTTCTGATGCTAATAAAGGGAGCTGAGTGATAGTCAGCAAAGTTTTATTCCTTCCTACCCTGACATCATCCAGTTTTCACGCCGTTGCTGTGGTTGAGGGGGTGGGGCACAATGGGACACTTTTCTTTAAGGGGGCACACCAGTGAAAATGAAGAGGTTTCGTAAAACAGTAATTCTGTGAAAAGTTACTAGCCTATTGGCTTCTAGTTATAACTTAAAGAAATATTAAATTAAACATAAAATCTCACAGGAGCAAGTGACGGAAAGGGGGGCTTGGAGTCCGTTTCCGATTTCGTCGATATGTTGTCATAGTGCCCAAGATTGCGCCGCTGTCAATTGAGTTAGAAACACGATTTGAAAATTTCTCATCCTCATCAGGACACCTGTGGCAATCGTGTGAACCACAGGCGTGCCAAAGTACTCATCTGAAGTATCATTTTGGACAAGGGAAAAATAAAATATTTTTTTTTTTTCACTTTTTAATGACTGTTGCTAGCGACTTCTTTGTGCGATGGTAATATCCGAGGTTCACTAAATAAAGGAACGTAAAAAGAACATTTTGAGAATATCACTCGTGTACGCCCGCACGCATGTTTGCAGTGCTTCTGAACACGCCCCGGTGAAAAGCGCTAGTCTGGCGCACGCGCATGCGTCGAGTGCATTGGCACACCTGCACAGCGCTCGTAATGGGTAGCCTACCTTATCGGCGCAAGGCTGTGTCTAGGCGAGTGTATCTTTGCGCCGTTCTCAACGGCGCGAGCGTTGCTGCAGCGGGCTGAGAGTTTGGGAGCTTGCAGAGAAGGGTTGTGTCGAGATGTGGTCGAGATGTGTCGGAGGGTGCTAGGCACGCCCGCCAAACGCCGCTGCGTGGCTGGCTGCCTACCCGCCGTGCTCGCAGGCGCTTGCTCCATCTCGCCATAGTCTCCCCATTCAGTTCACACTTGTAACAATGTTGAGCCGTGGTGTCCTCGCAAAATCGTCGCGGTAACTCCTCTCGTGGAGAATTCGGACTTTGGAAACAAGGGACTAGCCTTGGAAAGCAAGGGAGCCTCCCTCTCCTTGAAATGGGAGCACACTTCCGAGGAACTTCCGTGAAGTGTTCCATCTTTCCTTGTTTTGAAAAAACCGTCCTTGTCATTCAAGGAGTTGCACTAACTGTGCCCTAGGACTCTAATGAGTCAAAAGGAAACCCTACGCTGCAAATCCAAAGGAAGGACAGGTCGACACTAAGGCGTAGACCAGTTTGTCCTACGCTGGCAAGTGTCGACCAGCTGTATCCGACGCTCTGATGTGTCGACCACACTGTGTCCGACGCCTGCATGTGTAGGACACTGTTTGTCCTACGGCAAATTACACTGACTGAGTTTCTTGTTGTGGCCCAACACTTCAGCCGTCGGACACTGTGTGGTCGACACTTGCAGGCGTCGGACACTGTATGGTCGACACTTGCAGGCGTCGGACACTGTATGGTCGACACTTGCAGGCGTCAGACACTGTATGGTCGACACTTGCAGGCGTCGGACACTGTGTAGTCGACACTTGCAGGCGTCGGACACTGTGTGGTCGACACTTCAAAGCGTCGGACACAACTGGTCGACACTTGCAAGCGTAGGACGAACTGGTCTGCGCCTTAAAGTGTCGACCTGTACTACACTTGGATTTGCAGTGTAGGAGGCTTGGACAGTAAAATGCCGTAAATACGCAGGAGAACCATGTTCTAGTATTGTCCGTGGAGACATGGCGTGCCCGCCGGACCGCAAACATGGTTCTCGTACTTTTTGTGGTGTCGCCTGAACAAGAAAATGATTCTTGTGTGAACCGAACTTTGAATTTCAAATCGATTTACATTGATTGAATTGTCAATATTTCGGCACAAATCACAAATTATATTTGAACACGCTACGAGAACAGGGTTCTCGTACGATGACGTCCCACAAGCCGATACGGCAAAGGCTCAGACGACGACACGAGAACATGGTTCTCGTATAGAAGATTTTTGGCGCATGGTGCTCGGGTGGTCATACCAAGTCCGTATATCCATGTGCCATGTTTTGGCGACGTACGGTTCGGTACTTAGCACCTTAGGCCTCTAAGGCTTTGCCGCCAAAATTGGCCTTTGGCGCGAAGGTGTTAAAAAAGATTAAAAGAAAGTAAGCAATGTACTGGCCTTAGGTTGGTACTTCGGACGGAAAGACCAGGACCGATGAAAACGATGCTTTTTCATCGGTAGGATCTTAAATTTAACCAAATTCTCCACGAGAGGAGTTACCGCGACGATTTTGCGAGGACACCACGGCTCAACATTGTTTCAAGTGTGAACTGAATGGGGAGACTATGGCGAGATGGAGCAAGCGCCTGCGAGCACGGCGGGTAGGCAGCCAGCCACGCAGCGGCGTTTGGCGGGCGTGCCTACCTTCCAGTTCGCAGGCGTTACGGAGGCAGGTCCGTGTTTCGCTGCCTGTGTGTTGGCGCTGGGCTAAGGTGCGCTGCTTCCACATGAGTGCCAGCGCCTCAGAAGGCCTACCTCACACTGGAGCACGCTGCCTTTCCACCGCAGTCCTGTGGAAAGAACAAAGAGGGGCAGTTTTCTGCCCAAAACATGCATTTTCACGGTTTTTGTAGCTGCTGCTAGGGCTGCCCTATACACAAACTTCTTATGACGGAATATTTTAGTTTGATCCTTCATCTTAAAATTCCACCCCCGGGATCGGTCAAAATCGATGTCCATCACCAAAACCCTAGAGATACAAGAAATGACTGCAAAAATGGGAAAACAGCCATGGTCAAAATTTGAGCAGTCCAATCGGAAAACCGACGCCGGATTCTTGTTCCTCGGCCGATTTTACTAGAGAGAGTCAATTATTAGGCAGCTGAAGCCGACAGGGACCGAGCAATATCGATTTTTACATTTTGACCAAATTCACCTAAATTGTGTCAGATAAAACGAAAATCGTGAATAAAATCCAAACCATGCGTTTTTCGCCCCCAATATTTGAGGGCTTTTCTTAGACCCATAAGGGGTACCTTCGACCCAAATGGCGATGAAATCGGCGGTGGTCATGTTTTTCGATCGGACTTCTTAAAAAAAAGTGCCTCAGAATAATACAAGACACTTAAAGGTGCCAGCTAGCTTTTACTCGAGAGTCCAGAAACCAAGGGCGTATCGTAACAAATACTAGGGGCCGGCTGCCGGGGCGGGACAGTAAGTGCTTGATGCACGGTCAACAATCGGCGCGAAACATCGACAACTCCTCCCTCGGGTACAGCGCCAGCGGCACCGGACGTAAACAATGGCACCCTCTCCTCGGCCCGGCCCCGCGCAGCAAGGACCAACATCGATACTCACTCCCCTGGTACAGCGCCGGCGGACCCGTGCGCACGACGCAGCACTGCAGGCCGCGGTTTTTAATTATTAATGTTCTAACCCTTATTTACAATTTGATACACAATCACAGACATGCGAGCATACTGTAAAAACTTTAGCACACACGACAGTACCAGACGAGTATTATCTGCTTCCATGAACGTTTCTTGAATAAAGATTTTTGATTGGGATGGCTTCGTTAGCACCCAGTGTGCCTCCCTATGAATTTCAACGCCCAAATTCGTCCCCTTTGCTACTGAAACGGCACGTAGCAAAAAAGGGGTAGGTCCTCTCGGAGGTTGGTACAGCCGGGGGTGGTCGGATTCGAAAGAGAAAACTTGCAGCGGGTGCAGGGGAGGTCACTGGATCGTTTGCAGTCGGTTTATGACATTTTCGAAAGCCGGCTCCCGGAGGGGGTGGGGGTGACTGTGGAAGGAAAGGGGTGGGTTTGTCCGATTGCGATTCCGCTTGCACGGTAAGGTGCAAAAGGTTCACAGTCCAAAGGATTGCGAAATTTAGTAACCCACTGGCGCCAAAATTTTGTTGCCCAATGGGTGTATAAGGGAACTGTTCTTACCCAAATAGTAACAGTAGGCAACAGGCAACAGTAGGCCCTCCCACTGCCCAAGGTGCATAAATTTTGCATCTTGGCCGCAAGACGCATCCCCACTTGCCCACGTGTATAAATCCCATGCACTCTAACCGGTTGGAGGTGTCTTAAAATGCAGGCTGACCACAGAAAAATCACGGGGTGCATGGGCATCGAACCTGCAACCTCCACTCAGGACCCAGCCCCTCTGACCACTGCGCTACAACGCAAGCTGGTCGGAGAGGCTCGGCGGAGGCTACTTGACCCAGCCGGCTCGAGACCGTCTACCGTTAGCGGCGCCCTCGATGGATGATTTGCATTTGTGGGCAAGTTGAGGATCTCAGCTTACCCACAATGTTAATTTTTCTACAGATGGGCATGGTGGGCCATCCGAGAATCTCCACATGTGTAAATCCTCTCACGTGGACGGCAACTTTTTCAACCCACAAGATACTAAATTTGAACATGTGGGCAAGTTGGGTCGTCTTCACATAGCCACATGCGCAAATCTCCTAGCCACCTTGGCTATAAATTTAGACATGTGGGTGAGCTCAGAGCCCAAATCACCCAAATCATGAATTTCGTCTCAGATGTACGGATTTCAACGACACAATAGCAAATTTCGCTGTCCAACGGGTCGATGTATTTCATCAAGTGGGCTGGTACAGTGGCCTTCTGCAACCCACTGGGTGCAACTGGAGTCTTTGAACATTGGGTGGCAAAATTTCGCATGCCAATGGGTTTCAAAAATTTGCAACATTTTTTACAGTGAGAAGTTATTGGCTGAGCGATAGCGAAGCCTGTTACTCCAGTGGGGTTGAAAAGTTATGTCTGTCTGTCTGTCGGTCTGTCTGTCTGTCTGTCGGTCTGTCTGTCGGTCTGTCTGTCCGCACTACTCCTCCTGAACGGCTCGGCCGATCTCGGTGAGATTTTGCACACTTTTTGGGTATGTCCTTGGCTCGGCACACGCGAAATTTCACCATCCTAGCTCAACTGGTTCAGTTTTTATAGGCGAAAATTACCTAAAAAACGGCGAAAACTAGAGATTTCTGCAAATAGACCACTTCTGTCTTGGAGAAAGGG